TTCAGAATCGTAACTCGAAGATTTATCCTCACCTCAAGGTGATACCTTCGACAGTCGACCATGAACAGTAAAAGTAAAGTGGAACAACTCAAGTGGTCCAATGTGGCCAATCAAGTTAATAATAATAATAATATTACTATTGTCATTATATATTTTGCATGTTAGCAGTAGTATTTTGTTTATGTAATTAGCTGCCACCGGGTTATGCCCATTTGCAGCTCAAATAAATTTATCTTTATCTTTATCTAATGCAAATGCACAGTGTAAGGAAATGTTTCCTCCTCTTAGTGTTATTATTCTACTACTCCTTTTATTTTTTAAAGAAGTACATGACATCATTTAAAAACATACAGTTGACGGTCAAATTGTAATGGGAAAGAAATCTTTGGTTTTAATATTGAAGGGGAAGCACATATTTGAAAAATATTTCAACTTTTGCAATTTTCAAAATTTCAGAGATTGCAATGAAAAAAACAAAATTTCACAATATCTGTAAATGCACTTTCCTTCATATGAGCAAGGCACTTAAAGAAAAAATGTTCAACCATTTTTCAGAAAATTTTGAAAATGTCATAGGGGCTTCATATATGGAACTTCCCAAATATAAAGTATCTTAATATCAATGAAACAGCCCAACTGGATCTTCCTCCAGATATTTTACCAATTTTCAGCTCAAATCCTTGTAACTTTGCATAGTATGTTAGAAGTAATACTGATGTATGCACAAAGTTACTGTTCAAAAACCTTACAGAGGATTTTTTACAACCAAAAATTCAAGGTCTTTTTGTTGAGATGATTTCAATTTGAATAAATATGAATTCAAAATGAATATATAAATAATTTAAACAAAATAATTTTGGAAGAAAGTATTAAAAATCAAATAGTTGAGGAAAAACATAGAGCTCAAAATCATTATGTGGAATAAAGTCATAAAAGAAGAATATTGTCTAAACAAGGATTATCAGTAAAGCCAATTTGTCTTATTTCTACAAATTTCTACAAAATTTTAATGTACAAAATCTCTCTTCATCCAAAGTTATCGGAATTAACTGGTTGATAGAATAATTAAAATGTTGTTCAAAGTACATCCAAATTTAATAGAAGAAAAAATCAAACAAAAAATAATAACTCATTTGAGGCAGATCCTAGTAGCCAAGATTACTAAAGCAGTAATGACAAGGCAACCTAGGACCAAAGGATCGTGGGTTTGAGTCCTGCCTCAGGCATGGATGTGTTTGTGTTCATCTCTGTATGTTTGTAATTGTCCATTTCATCATTCAACATCATTATCATTTCACTTCACCCCCCAGGGCTAACAACACTGGGTGTAAAAATGAATTCAGCATGAAAATGCATATCCCCCTCCCCTTAAAAACCACGTGCACCAAGCCTCGATACACAAGACTGAGCCTCAATGGGTTCCACATTCACATGGTCCCAAGATGGCCAATTCGTAACCCCCCCCCAAAATAAACTCATTTGACAAAATAATCCGAAGAGTATGTTTGTTTTCTCTCAACTTTTCATAAAAACCTCTTTGATTGTAATAGTTTGTTTATTAAATGATTATATATTTAATACTTTTTACTCAGTACTTACAAGAATGGCTAAAAAGGATAAATAAACTGTAATAATGTAGCAAGAACATGGATTTTTTTTTTTAATTGAGAATACCCTCAACAACCTCTGTGAAGGAAAAGTCAAAACTTCGAAAATATGCTCTTAAGACAATAGTAAGCATATTTTGTCTAATAAACACTTAGGATATTTCGAATGGCTGATCCGCAATAAGCACTCAAAACTTGTATTGAAAAAATACTTTTTATGCAAAAATTTGCATTGCAGAAACATATAAATACTCCCAAAACATGAACACTCCTATTACTTACAAAAGAAATTAATATATTAGTTCAGTTTTTTTTTTTCCCCCTCTCTCTCTCTGTGTTGATATACTGTACTCATTGTCAGATCTATATCCCCAACTTTCAAACTCCAGTTCCGGAATCTCTGCGATTACAATCTATAATTGATTAACGTCAAAAAGTAAAATTGAAATAAATTGAATACTATTGTTCCTTTAACATTTTTTATGAGCCTCTAGGATGGCTCATGGACAGTGTACTAGCTTCCTACGGTGTGGTCCAATTTCCAGAAGTTGAAGCTTTCCTCTAAAATCATCCCAGTTTCTGAAGTTGCATGATGAAGAAAAGCTAGGCAGGCAAATCTTGCTAGTTACAGTGAGGGGAACATGTCATGTTTGCCACACATCACTCTTATCCCAAAGAATGGGAATTTATCTAGGCCTAGACATGGCAGACACCATTACCTAGCTGACAAAGTGAGACCAATGACCTAAAATGCCAAATACATACATACACAGTGCATACTTCCTAAATTAGTAGAAATTTGTTGTATGTGAGAGTAAAAATTGAAATTGTGGCTTGAACAGAAAAACCATAGAATTGGCAATAAACAAAGTAATGAGTATTGTTGTTATGTTATGCTAAACCTTTACTAAAACATATGAAATTAATTTTTGTTTACTCCATAGTAATGTGTTGAAAGTAGTGAAATATGATTGCTATGATGTCTTGTTAGTTTAAAAAATGCACATTTTATAACATTACATTTTGATTGCACTATAGTAACATCAGTAAGCAGTATAAAAAGATTTCATATTTATGGTGCATTTCTGCACTTAAATGAACAGTTGATATTATGGTACACTTACAGAAGAGAGTAAATAAATGTTAGGATATTACTCAAATACTAGATGGATGACTGTAATATGTGAAATTAACAAAGATAATAAATGACATCAGGAAGTTGCCATAGTTATTAGGATAGCATGTTACATTGGTAGGAAATTGACAGTCAGACTGGTCAAAACAAAAGTGATAAGATATGTTAATAGAATGGTCTGTGTGATTCTCTCATTAAGTTATGTATTAGTCAAATTTGTTGATCATCACTTTATGTATGGTTAAATAACTTAGACAAATTGGTATTTTGAAGTGATTCTTTGACAAATTTTTAAAAACCCAATTTGACACTTGTGTGACAGTGTGTACTTTCTGTTTGTGTTTTCGTAGCAAATTTGTTTTATGAAAAGAAAGACTGTTTTAATTTATTCATTTCAGTGAAATACATGAGCAACATGAAGATGATACATCACACATGATAAATCACTGCCCCAAAAACGTTTTTGCAACAACATTCTCCAGTCATTAAACATAGAGTAATGCTCTGATAAGCAAGTCAGTCATTGACTTTTATCCCTTCAATCAGGGGTTCAGCGCCATTAAATCCCCGGGATTCCCAGATAGTCACCCATTCAGGAACCTATGTTTTGTGTTGTTGAATCTCCATGACTTCACATAGCATGGTTAAAAACTTCAGCTATCAACACCAGCCTCATAAAATAAAAGAAATTACCATATAAATTTATTGATTACTAGTGGACCTGGCAATGCTTTACTACTGCAGTGTATTACACACCACACTCTACTAGTCATGTAATTGTACACTTTTTTTGCTGTGAAAAATTCTAATAAATGAAACTTTCTTGCAAGTATGGGATTGTTCTACATCTTGGTTTGGGCATGGTTGTCTAGTATCCTATTGTTCAAATGTTCTCCCTTAAATTTTGACATGCTTTGCAATGACATTATCTAAGAGTAATTTTATTTACTTGTCCGAGTAATCATTCCGCCAATATTTCACAATCACAGGGCAGAATACTAGTATGTAGTGAAGATGCCCATAATCCTTGAGCTGCTTCGTGAGTTGCTTAGAGGGGGGCCTGAGTCATCATAAATGACTCTAAATTATTAACAATACCCCCACATGTCCAATTTAATTCA